AATTTCAAAAACATAATAAAAATTTTAAATACAATGAAGTATGGAAATAATGTAATAATTAAATAACATGGTAAGAAAAAGGAAGCAACAGTATAATAAAAAATAAAAATAATATTAAACTCATATTATCATAGCTAAATATAAGAATAATAAATAATAAATATTTCACGTATAAAAAAATATAAAATACTCTTTTAATTGATAATAAGATAAGATACTGTAGAAATTATTTAATTTAAAATTTTATATTATTTTATACGATAAATATTAGATAAAATTAATTTTAAGTAAATGTTGCGTTGATTATATAAGTAATTTAAATTTTTTAACATAATTAATATTATAATCATTAAATGGTTAAATTTATTGTTTATAATTGTTGAAATCTCAATAACATCATTCTTATCATGTTCGTTTAATAGGTACTTAACTTTTTAAAATTGATTCTCCATTTATTTATCTCATTACATTATAAAAAATGTCGAATAACTACTAAATTTAGTGACCAAATAATATCGGTTAAAATTTGTAACTAATGATAACAAAATAAAAAATAAAAAATAATGATCTAATATTTTGACAACAAAAATAATATTTAGTACGTAAAATGTTAAAAATAATTTAAAAACCAAATTAATAATTAATTATTTCAATCGTAAACGTAAAATACAAGAGCATCTTGACTCCATTTTTTGTGGCAATAGCATTTTGCTTCCAAATCCAGAAATTCTCATAATCCAATTTGATACATATTGGACTAAATTTTACAGAGCAATCTTGTTGAGTAGAAGAAGATGAAGAGGATTGAAAGTACCTTGTAGAGCTTTAAGATCTAATGGTATAAAAGGTATCAAATCAAAGAATAAGAAAAGAGAAAATTTTAAAAATTCAATTTGAAGAGAAAATATGTTCTTGTTTAAATTGTTTGAGCCTTGAGTTTTGGAATTCGTTTCATTATTTTGAAAATTTTCACCTTGTTTTGTATATAACGTTTACTAATCTTTTATTTAAAAATATGCCACAATTCTCAATAACTATAAATCCTGTCAAAATAATTTCCAAACTCTATTTTTTAAAAAATAAATCAATTTTAAATGTATCATCTTAAAATTGTTTTAGGTGTATAAGAACTTCAATTAGCCATAGAAGTAATTTAGTTATAAATGAGACTCTTTAAATTGAAAATGAGTCTCACATAATTTTTTATTATTTTTAATAAATTTTAATTAATAATAAAACATGTATATTTTTTAATCAGATCATTCCAATCCCACACCAAACAAAGTTCCTTGCATTTCTAAAAATTTCATCTTGATAACTTGGTGCAAAGTATAACTTCGATAATCAGACAGTGTTATGGCACAAGAGACTTAGGTAAGTGTGTAAACTCTGTTTAATTACATGCTTACACAGAAAGACATTTAGTCACATTGGTAAGGAGGGGATTCATTGCTTAGTTAAGAAAATTTTTCTTTCAAGATTTTATGGTGTAAAATTAGAAAAATATGTTCAATGTTGCTTGAAAATTAAAGTGAGTTTGAAGTCCTACTTAAAAATGAAAATAATAATAAAAGAGAGGCATAATAGCAAGTTAAGATAATATAAAAAAATTAAATTCTTATGCATATACCACTGTTAAAAATTATACTCACAATATAATTAAAGTACTTTTGTATTGTTTTTTAAGGTGCTTTTAAGCTTTTTTATATTCTCATGTATAGCAGAACATATTGCAATGTTTCGAAAGTAATTTAGAATAACACTTTTTAAAGTGCGTCTTAGTTTAAAACACTTTCAAGGAACATATTTATTCTAGTAGTCATACATATAAAAAATTAAAACACTTACTTTTCTATTATATAACTTGATCAATTCTTCTTCCTCTTTTGGTTCCCGCATTGCTTGAAGACCATGAAATTTGTAGCTCCTTAAGCGACCTCAATAATTTACACATACTCTAATAAAATTTGTAAATATACTAAAACATGATAACAACTTAATAGTAAGATTATTGAAAGTTCAGTAAAATGATCTACTTAGAATTCGAACAAATAATAATTTTTGTATATAACCTATTAAAAATCATGTAAACTTATATATAAAATCAGTAATTTAGATTCGTATCTCATATACCTGCACCAATTATCAATACCAAAATGGTAGTTATACTAAAAGGTGTATGTCAAGTATTTGAGTTTATATACAATTTCACCACAAAATAAAATTAGAAAAAACTATTTCTACTACTTCAAAATAATAATAATTAAAAAGTGTTGTTATGTGTACGAAGTCAAAGAAATTACTCATATTTTGCTACATCGAGATAAGTAAGAAACAAATATAAAATGAATGGAAATTTTTGAAAATATACATACGAAGAGAAAATTTATGTTTTTGAAAATTTGTGTCTTATATGAAAGAAATAATTATATAATCAGTCGTTAAGTAAATAATTGACCCCCAATTATAGGAAAAAAAATGCTTCTTATCAAGCAGCTTGTGTAATGTTTTCAAGAAAAGTAGAAGAGGAAAAAATAAAATAAAACCAAACCTTTTTATTGTCATATATAAACACCTAGAACATAAACTCTGCTTTTGTATTCAAGCTCTAATAATTATACTTATCCACTGTTTGAGATAGAAAAACTTGTATGGAATAGAACGTGGCTCTAAAGAAGTAAAAAATCATAGAATAGAAAACTTCGTCTTGCTTTGATTGTTAATAGGTATGTCAAAATTGGAGTAAAATATGAAAAAATGAAACAATAAAGAGAGAGATAAACTGGGGATGAGTGCGTCGAAACAGTGTTCTTCGACCTCAAGCAGTATTAGCATTAAAATGTGGTTATTATTATTTTTAGATGAAACTTAAATATAATAAATTAGCAGAGTAAAATTGTAATTAAAAATAATATAAAAATATTTTAACAAATAAAATTGAAGTTATCACAGTAATTATAAATAATGACAAATTTCAAAGTATTTTAGTTGTTAGTAATAAAAATTATTCTTAACAAATAAAAGTATTTTTAAAAAATAATAAATATTTTCTTTATATTCTAAAATAACAAATTATTTAAAACAAATAAAAAAAATATTCAAATAACAACAATATCAAACGGAGAAAGCATGTTACTGAAATTTCACGTTACAGTAATATCAAATGTGAGATGCAAGTTCTTGTGATGTCACCTTGCGACTTAAACTTCGGTCATTTAGTCACATAAACAAATTTTGTACATTAATTCTTACTCTTTTTAATACTTCATATGTATAAATATAAATTACATATTATAATTGATAATTCATTATATTAATTTACGGTTTGGCTAATAAGTCATCTTAATTTGCTATTTGCTACATCATTAATTGTGGAGAAGACGTTACTCATGACCTTTTTCCAATAAATTTTCAGCATTATATTTTTTATTTATTATTCTTAATTTTTTTAAATTATATTTTTAATTTGATTCATTTCTTTTAATTTACAGAGTATAATAAATTTTGATAAAGTATGTGCAAATTTAACAATGTTAATTTCTATAGAAATGTTAATGGTTAATTTTCTGGTATTCTATTACACTAAACATGTTAAAATTAGTAAAATTTGCAATTGGCTTGGTTAAAAAATGCACTATTTGGGAAATGTAAGTAACACTATCAACACCTGTATCTCATTAATACGAAAAATATAACATTACATTAAAATATTTATTATGATTTAGTTAAAAGAATACTAATAAAAACAAATGTCCCATGCTAAAAATATTAAAATTGTCTCATACTAATAAAAGTATACTAGAAACTATTACTTTCAGAATCAAATAATTGAGTAGTGCAATAAGGAGTAAGAAGATTTTATTTTTATCAAAAGACACTTCTTTTATGCTAATTTTTTCAACGATAGAATGTTTGACATTTTTATTAGATAAATCATATATTTTTAATATAATTGTAATACAATTATTTATTAATAGGAAAATAAAGATTTTGTCATATTTAATATTTTTAAATTAAAACATATAAAGTGTTGCCAAAAGTAAATTGATAATTAAATTTTATAAAATTATGAACATAATTCTAAAATATTAAAATATTATTCATAATCTAATATTTTATCTTGATTAATTTTTTTAACTAGATAAAAAGATCAATCTTTTCAAATAAATTTATGATAAAATTTTCAAAATAAACCCTTTAATACACTGAGTTAATTGTAACTAAGTAGGGATCGGTTAATCAAACAGAGAATTCTCTTTGCAAAATAACAATTCTTCATTTTATACAAAATAAATTATAGTTTCTTCATACTCCTCTCCAAAGCATGCTCTGAGGACCCTTGATAGGAGAAATTGTTTTATGGTCCAAGATCTCTAAACATTTATAATTTCAGACAATTAAAAAATAACATATGTCCATGTTTTTAAGTTAAGGAAAAAAAAGCAATAAAAAACTAATGACATTATTTAGTGATTAGCCGAATTATAAACACCATCATTGCATTCATACAATAATCTCTCCCTTGACAGTGAATGTTTCCCCATTCCAAGACTCTCCATATAAAACCCCATAAAAGTTCCACACCATCACCAAGAAGAATCTCCCTTTATATCATCATCACTTCTCAAAACCAAATTTCCAACTCTCATCAACCTCCCTCAAAACTCTTATTCATGTTCTCTATCTCTTTCCAAACATAGAAGAATGCACCACCCTTTGTCCTTCAATTTATTCACATCTGACACACTTAATTCCTCTGTGAGGGATGGATATGATGATTACTCTCCACTCTCACAATTCTTCCCACATTACATTATTCCCCACCACCTGTTCCTTTCACCATTATTAACTTTGGATCAAACAAAATTGCCTCATCCTCTGCTCCTTCTCATGCATATGAATATGACCCTTATAGTTTAAATTCTCTTAATTCTCAACACCTTATAATCCTGTGTCATATATAGCACTAACCACCACCAACAACAAGTTTCCATAACGCTATGGCGGGTGAGAAGCTTTCTGGCGGTTCAAGCATGACAATTCTACTCCAAAACGAAAGCCTTCCATGCTCCTCTGAGCTTGTTCACTCTCTTTGGCTTCAAAACTCTCAACCTTCTTTTCATGGTTATTTGCTACAATCATGTTTTTCTCTTCTGGATTCTTGTCTCTGTTCTGTGCCTTCATAATCTTTTTGGAGTTGATGAGTTTTTTGTACTTCAACATTCTTTTAACAATTTGAATATTTTTATAGAACAGAGGAGCAGAAAAGAAAAAACCCCAAAATCTATTTTTTGAACAAAATTTAAAGTGGGTTTCTTATAGATTCTGGTTTCGTTCCGATGATGAAGCTTTCCATTGAGAAACAAAGGAAATAAATTTTTTTTCACTAAACATTATTATTAAACTAGGTCTTTAGTTAACAAAATCTTTAATTTTGATGTTAGTTCTTTAAATAACTGAAAATTGACACTGTATTGGTACTGTAGATAATTATTTCATCTTTAATCTATTTATATATATATGCGAGTCCAAAAATACACCTAAAAAGTAAAGAACATAATTCAAAGTTATTTCCTAATATAGTTGTTCTAAGATAGTTAATATTTGTTGCCTTGATTTGAGGTTCAAAATCCTTGTTTGATGTTGTGAATGTCACAGATAGGCCCTTGTTCCATGGGCTTGAGAAAGAAGAGAAGGGTGATGATGAGGATTACGAGGTTTGTTTCCGTCAACCTGGTAAGAAGAGGAGGCTTACAAGCGATCAAGTTCAGTTTCTTGAAAGCAACTTTGAGGTAGAAAACAAGCTTGAACCCGAAAGGAAGGTCCAACTTGCAAAGGAGCTTGGCATGCAGCCAAGGCAAGTGGCCATATGGTTCCAAAACCGTAGGGCAAGGTTTAAGACCAAACAGCTAGAAAAAGAATATGGCATATTGAAAGCTAGCTATGATATACTCAAAAGTGACTATGACAAACTACTTCAAGAGAATGGCAAGTTAAAGGAAGAGGTAACAATTGCTAGCAATAAAATCATTCGGCCAACATCTTCATGTCTTAATATAGTTGGTTCCTTATATTGAACTCGTAGAATTTGAGCATTAAGAGATTTCAATATCTTCTCTGCTTTTTTCTTCTTCTTCGTACTAATATGAGTTCTTTAGTAAATTATAGAGTGACACTGACACACCAAATTTGCATATGAAATTGCAAATATCAATAAATTTAATTTCTGAGATTATGATATGCTGGTGATTTTGGTAATATAATAAAGATTAAAGTGATCAATATTTAATAATTTTACAGATTCCCAATTTTTATGACTAAATTGGTGTATTATTTTGGAATTTTTTTATCCATAATGGGTTAGTGATTGAATGGTACAATTTCCTTTATACAGGTTAATTCTCTCAAGAACAGATTGCTTCCTCAAGAGAAAGAGGAACATAATTTAGATGATACCTCCTGTGATGCTGTCAATTCACAGCATAAAGAGCGTGAGGATTTGATAATAAATACAGGTTCTGAAAATGGGTCCAAAGGGCCACTTCCTGTTATGGTAATATGCAAACAGGAATATGCTAATTCAGCTAAAAGTGATGTGCTTGATTCGGAGAGTCCACATTTCACTGATGGAAACCAATCCTCATTTGTGGAGCCTGCAGATTCCTCTCATGCTTTGGAACCAGACCACTCAGATTTCTCACAAGATGATGAAGACATCCTAAGCCAAAATCTCTTAACACTGCCATTCTTACCAAAGATTGAAGATGTCTGTTATGGTGAACCACTTGAAAATCCTTGCAGTTTTCGGTTCCCAGTTGAGGATCAAACCTTTTGTTTTTGGTCTTATTGAGTTGGTACTAGTAGGGGAATGTTGAAGTTGACAGTTGTACGTCTGTACCAAAAGCAATAAATATGATATTATTTCTGGTAAAGAATAAAATCAATATGGGTATTACATTATGCTATTCATGAGAAACATGAAATATATTTTTGGTCATAACCCAAGTTTAAAAAGAGGATTTCTGGTATCCAATGTTACAAGTCTTGTAGCACTAGGCAGGGCAAAATTAGTTCTGATCAGTGTTAGAGCAAACATAACGCGGTCATACAAAATTTCATATCTCAGTGGCATAATAAAACAATTTCACATGAAATATTGGTTTTTGTGAAGTTCCGTGTAGCTACATTCCATGGTTATAGATGGCCTTGGTATCACAATTCACAACAAAATTTTAGGTTGGTATCATAACCACTGTTTTTATTATTGTATTTGGGAAACTCTTACTTCAAGTCATCACTCCTCAAATATCTTATGGCACATTTCATTTAATGTAACTTCCTTACATCGCTAAACCTTTTACATTGGAGGTTTTAATATGCTTCTTCCTAGTTGATGAAATGACGAGATGCTAGACGAAACATGACGAAAATTTCTATTCCTTAATCCCCGTGTGTTTAATTGAATAGTAAAAAATAATGATAATATGAATTAATAATGTATCAAGACACAAACAGTGTGATATCCACAATACATTATTAATGTTTACTTCACAACTATACATGTTAAAGATATTTAAACAACATTCAGGTGCGTCCATCTAATAGCTTAAAGCTTTTAATCTTTCACAACAAGCCTTTAAACGCATTCTTGATTCATGTCCTAACATTTCTTCGGTTAGCCTAATGATAAATGAATAGTGTATATTCTTGGATTCAAGTCTTACTTTTACCTCAGTAGCTAGATTTCTTGAATCATGAGCATTGATTATTTAAGATCAAATTTCTATTTCCAATGGGACAGAAGAGTGGACTAATTAAGTTATAAACAATTGAGCATACCCCATCTGATATGGTTTACAAAATCACTGTGTCACATTGAACATATTGACATCAATGATATGTCTTTGAGCTCTCTCTTGTATGAACATGAGGGAGACTCTTGAAGCCTGAGAAGGTTTTGAAAATCAACAGGTTGATACTTGCCCCATAAGAAATTACACCCTCAGGATTGAATTAAATTGATTAATTAATGGGCAACAGTCTGTGTGTGAAAGATGTGATGTTGAAATCCAATGAAAAAAAAGCAACACATGCAAAATATGGTGAAATACTGAATCCTACTTTACAAGTCAAGGTTTTGGTGTATTTCACTTAAACAAGTTTGGTGAGAATATTTAAAATTTAAAGGCTTAGTTTAATTTAAACTTTAAACTATTTCAAATAATGTGCCACGTAGACCTCTTCATTCCCAGATCCAACCGAGTTGTGAACGAACCCATATGGCTCATATTTGTTACTTCGCCTTGTGAACCTTACTCTTATCAATAGTCAATAGTTATAATATATCTGTTTAAGCAAGTAGAGGCTTATAATATTTTCTCCAAAATTCTATATTCGGTATACAATATTTTCAAATTTTATATTTAAATGAATTTTATATATGAATATAAAATATATTTTAAATATAAAAGAAATATCCAAAGTATTTATTTTAATGGTACAAACAATTTTTTTTCTAGAATAATTTATTATTTAAATTAATATAAATTAATATCGTATGTGATCTGTATATTATGATTTCTAAATTTAGAATTTGGCCTTGAATAAAAACCCGTTGCACGGATGTTTGAGTTTTCGCGTATTTGATTTTCTATTTAAAAAATAGAACTTTACCGATATCTGATTTAATGTATAAAAATTTGTTTTGAATTATTTTCTTGTAACACATGCTTCAGATTCTTAATCGGTAATTAAATGCAGTCCTAATATAAACATAGAGCTGTATTTCAAACGGTAGGAATAAATTCTTATATTTTTGTTTGAAGCTATGATTTGTTTCTTCATAAAATATATTTTGTCCGTTGTAGTACGTTGCATTACGGTTCGCCCACGGAAAAGTGCACGTAAAGTTCTCACCCTTTAAAATATTATCTGCTATAATATTTTATTCAGTGGGGGACATCGATCATTGACAAATTATATATGGAGGCTACTTTCAGGATGGTTGTGTGTTTGACGTAATTCACGTGAAAAATATTTTAGGTTTAGAATATAATAATGAAACTTTGTTTTAATCTTTCCTTGTTTCAGAGATGTTCTAGAAAATAAAACAAAAAAAGAAGCAAGAGCTTCTTTTTGATTGTTTTAATAAGATCGATTGAGATCTTTGTAAATTGAAACAAAGTAGGCAACAATGTCTTGCTCTTTCAGCCAAGGTCAAAAGCTATTTTGGTGATCCAAAAAGGAAGAACACTGAAAATTTAATTATCTCCCAGCGTCTGTCCACTTTGATGTAAATAAAGTGAAGCTCATGGTTTGTGTACACTAGTCCATTACTTACTGGATTATGGATACTATCAAAGTAATGGGTTATGCCTTAGAAAGTAAAACTGACGGAGATATGAATGAATAAAATAATTCAAAAGATAGCTAAGATAATGACGTTGGAGGGCAGATATACATTAGCATAGAATTTGTTGAGGACCACGAGCAAGTTATGGCCTAATCCTAAAGCTAGCTGTGTTGTCATTTGGCTGATGAAAATGTGTGTTTGTGTGTAAATTTGTGATTGAGCCTCCAAGAAAGAACAAACAAAACATGCAACTTGGGGGTTATAAGTAAACCTACCTTGTTGAGAAGATTATAGATTCACATCGTCTTCTTATATTTGTCATTACTGCTGTTTTTTTGTTTTTCTAAGTTGGCATCTAATTGATCTTTTAGATATGTATATTGCTTCTCAAAAATTATTTATTGACAAATTATATATAAAATGATTGTCAAATTCGTATATTACTATCATAGTCTTTTATTAACATAAAATTTCGGTAAATTCAATAACCTATTATCTGTTAGTAGAAGTTAGAGTAGATGATGATTTTTATGGAGCTTTATCAAAATCTAGGAGAGTTGCGCTGTAAAATGAGAGTGAGAAAAGTTTAGAATTATCTTAGTGTTTGAAATTACTTTGGTCGGAGAGGTATTGGGCTCTCAATTCCTTAATGTGATCACTTGCATTTTTCTTTGTTTGATAGATCATTTTTCTCCTTATCATTTTGAATTTTTACTTGTCAACTACTAATAGAGTCCTTTCCCTGTTATTTGAGAAGCATTACTGTTGACTTTTATGAATAGATCCATTTCATGTCCTACACTGTATGAGAGTTGTTGGTATTTCAGTTGAAGAATTGGGCTCGAAGTTGCAATTTATTCAATGTATCTAACGCAATTGAACTTGTTTTCCTTTTCATCTTTTTTAATAGGCTTCAAATTTTGGGCCACATGTTTTTTTCTGGAATAATCAAATGAGTCCTGAGGCTTTACGAACTCTAATAATGACTTTTACGAATAGGCCCGATCCAAAATGCCTAAGCAATTGAACTTGTACACCTCTTGTTTATATTAATTTTATTTCTTCCATTTTTAACTAACGTGGAAATTCATTTTCTAGCAATTACATTTGACAACAATGGAAACTTGAGTAAAAGCAGTGTAATCAGAAACATGAAAGTTTTAGTACAAGAATTATTGTATATGGTGAATACGTTTTTGGGAACCCATCAAACATGAATCATCAATCTTGGGTGAATTCTAAAACTAAAGATGAAGAGAGGGGAAAACATGGAGAAGGGGACAATATAAGAGGTGGCAGAAGATAAAAATCCTCATTTTCTAGGGGCAGAGAGGGGAGCAAAAAGAGAATGAGTGTTTGTTGCAATGGTAGGGCGATCACGATCTTGGTTCCAACAGTGGGAGTTATGCACTCTAAATTCAAGCCATTAGGAATTTTCATCTATCCATGGTACAAAATCATTATACTTTGTCTTAAGCAAGAGGTCTCAGTACAAGAATACGGAAGCAATTTGAGACTTTTGCAAGTCCCTTTCTTATCATAGAATAATATTACCATTGAAGAATTTTCTCATTAAGGATCATGAAGGAGGTGAGATCAAAATTAAAGAGGCATGATTTAGTTTGAGTAAAGTAGGGACACTCGTCTGTTTGATTTAACGTAGTAAGGCTATGTTAAGACTAAAGTTGTGGAGATTGTCTTGATCATAATGCTCCAAATAATGGAATCTGTTCCTGTTTGAGAAACGACTGTCTTCAAACCTCTGATCAGGCGTCCTTATGACGATTTGCTGATATGGAGGGTACCTGCAAAAGGCACTCCGATGGTAAAGTCAGGATTCGGTTCTGAGCAATAAATGTTATTTAATGATGGGAAGTCAACCCTTTACCTGTATTTCCTACCTTCCTTTTATAGGCATTCTATTGGGTTGATGGGCCTGAGTCAGCCTTTATACTGTGGCCCATTAGCCTGGTTTAAATAATATTTTGATTATTATCCTTAATTGGATTATTTACCTTTTAATCCTGACGAGTGGTACCCAGTCTAGTATGCCGAGTAGGTATTCGGTTTCTTTTTCTTATGGGTGGAACCGAGTTGATTCCTTTCCCAGTACACTGGCCGCACAAGCCTGGCGAGTTGCAAAGCAAGGGCTTTTAAATGCAAATGGTAATGTTACAATAGGTATTCGGTCGAGGTGTTTCTCACTATACCGAGATGGTCATTCGGTTAGGGTAAATTACAATACATCGTAGGGGGTGTTCGGTCTTGAGTGATGGTAACATTTAAACAATGTGTTAGGTTTTATACTAAGAGGTAATCGGTTTAGTAACAAAACGATACAGGCCGAGATTATAATATAAATAATAAATTTGCGAAGGAATATTTTAGAATGTCGATTTTGAGGGTTTGTCAGAGGGTATATGAAACGAAAGGGTGCTCCATCTTATCCGTTGATCTGGAAGGGATCTAACGGTTCGAAACGAAAGGGCGTCTTTTCA